CTTGGGGCCCTGTGACACTCAAGACGGAAAGGCAGCACACGAAATGTTAGGCCTTATAATCCAGGGCATAAGATGGGACAGGAATAAAGTATGTTCCTCTTTCACATCAGCAGCTTTGCGCTGTTTATAGCCTCATAGCATGTGTGGGTCACCGTATGTATTTTTTCAATCCCGTTCCAAAAGCCTTAAATTTAGTGTAAATTACCGCAGGAGTCTCATGATAGGTTGAGTCTCACGATAGGTCAATCCCAGGATTTAGGTGGAAATGTCATCTTAGGTATTTTAAACGTTATTTGGGGTAAGCTATGTCAAAGACTGCTGTCCAGATGTTTTTAAACTGTTGAGATGCTAAGGAAAGTCATAAAATTAGTAGTTCTGTTAGCGCCAGTAGGGGGGCTGTATTCGTGCAGTGGTGAGGGTACGAAGTGAGGGTTCTGCTGAGCCATGATTCCCTTTACCTCTCTGTGTCTTCACCCTTTAGTCAATAACATACAAGAACTAGCTTAGATAAGTCTATAGTCTGTTTATCTCTAAAATGACCATGATCATTTAAGATAAATAGAAACATTTTATTTAGTATCTATAAAGTCTAATGCTTGAGAGTAATTACAGACATACCTCGGAGACACTGCAGGTTCGTAAAACAAATAAAGCAATAACAAGTCATGTGAATTTTTTTGGTTTCGAGTGCATATAAAAGTTTTGTTTACACTGTACATTCCTTGTACTGTAGTCTATTAAGTGCGCAATAGCATTATGTATAAAAAACAATGTACATACGGTAATTAAAAAATAATTCCTTTGGGAAAATGGCACTGATAGACTTGCTTGACAAGAGTGGCCACAAACCTTCAGTTTGTAAAACATGAAGTAGCTGTGAAGTGCAATGAAATGAGGTGTGCGTGTCTCCCTTACTAACCCATGAGCTCCCTTTCTTAAGCAACTTGGAATGCCCATTTCCTGGCACATAAAAATTTCTTAACAAATGATTTTCAAATGAACAAATAAACCTAGCTGAGCAAGAGATATTTGAGGAAACTGTGAGCCATGCCAAATATTTTGTGAGTGCTCTATTACCTCAACAGCCTAACACTCATTACTAACTAGCTGGTTATACAATTAAAGTACGTAACTGGGGCTCACTGTCAGCATTAACAAATAGCACTTTGTCATTCCTTGGACTCTTTACGTCGCTATTTTCTTCTCATGTTGATAACCTGCCTGTCCACCCCAGCTAAGATCTAGAGAAGTCTAGTTAGTCCCATTCGAGACCTAAAGTCTTCACTTTGTCTCCTTTTGCAAGGATACTCCCGATTTCAACCAGGTACTCGAAATGTCAGATGAAAAATGGCACAAATGTGAATGATGACAATAAAAGTTTATAAGCTCCTAAAATAAAGTTATAGTACCTAAGAGCTGAGTCAACTGACAATGTTAAATGGAACATTTTACAACCAGTCCTGGGATAATGATAAAAAGAAAAAAAAAAAAAAGGCACACAGAACGTGAAGAAGTATCTAACAGGAAATGGGCCCAAGATCAAGCTGAGGCTACGTGATTTCATATGAGCATCTCTCAAGAGGGGAGAGGTGATAGCCTAATTCTTATGGGTGCCTCCTCTGTGCCTAACCCTTGACTTCTATTATCTCTTTTACTTCTCATAACAGCTCAGTGAGAGAGGGACTGCTGTCATTTTAGAGAGGAGAAACCAAGGTTGAAGGGGTCCAGTTGAGCAAATGCCCAACAACAAAGCTATTAAATAACAGAGACTTCAAAAGTCTCTCTGATTCCAAAGCCCATGCTATTTCCATTGGGTATATCTTTTTACACCCAATGCTATCTCTTTACATAGACACAATCGCTCTATACATATAAAACAAATTTAAGCTTCATGAAGAATCTCTCTCTCCAACTTGATGCTAGTGTTTGTTCCATGTTATCAGTTCTGGTGACGGTTCTCTTTACCACAAAGCTCACCATGTAAATTAGCTATACAGTCAATGTTAAATTATAGCTAAAGAAGGCCAAAATATGGCGCTGGAATGAGCTCAGCATTAGGAAGAAAGCTGAACACGAAAATGGTATTTAAGAAAGAATACTAGGGCTTCCCTGGTGGCGGCGCAGTGGCTGAGAGTCCGCCTGCCTATGCAGGGGACACGAGTTCGTGCCCCAGTTCGGGAAGATCCCACGTGCCGCGGAGCGGCTGGGCCCGTGAGCCACGGCCGCTGAGCCTGCGCGTCCGGAGCCTGTGCTCCGCAAACGGGAGAGGCCACAAAAGTGAGAGGCTCACGTACCGCGAAAAAAAAAAAAGAGAAAGAATACTACTCTATATAAAATAGATAACTAATAAGGATCTACTGTATAGCACAGGGAACTCTACTCGATACTCTGTAATGGCCTATATGGGAAAAGTATCTAAAAAAGAGTGTCTATAAGTATAACATTCACTTTGCTGTACATTTGAAACTAATGCAACATTGTAAATCAACTATACCCCAATAAAAATTTTTAAAAAGAAATAAAGAAACAATAGAGGAGTATTATCAGGAGTCTGAACAGGTGGTACGGCACTCTTCCGTTTTATTTTTAAAATAATTCCGCTCACAAAATATCCTGTGTTACTCGTAAATTTCCACTGCCTTTAACTTTCCTAGTACGACATCCTCCTGTCACCCCACATGCACATAATGCCAAGTCACAGTGCTTCTCATGCGTGCCCACCCCGGCATCCCCAGTGACAGAGACGCAAGCACACCGTCACGCCCGGGGGATCTAGCGCCATCTCCTGATAGGCTGGTATTCGCTGTAATTGCACAATTTCTTGGAAATATTATGTATTACCTTTAAAGATCTTACAAAATTGATATTCTTCTCCCTCAGCTGACTTCGTTATAGAATAAAGATAGTCTTTCCAATTACTTGTTATGGACCAAAATGCATGCTCCGGGAAGAATTAATGCCATGTTAATTCTGAGGCTTTGCATACTCTGTGCAAACTCCTTTTACTCTAGCCAGAGAAACACGGTGATAAAATGGTATAATCGCATGACATGCAAAGTGCTTATGTGAAATGAAAAGGACAAAAATATGAGTGGGATATTAATTCAAGAGAAATAAGGAAACAGGACTGTTTGAATAGGCTTAGTAGGATGGCTTAGTTCTTCCTGAAAATAAGTGTGATACTATCTCAGCGTACCTTGACCTCTCTACCCTGACTCCCCCATTCAAGTACAATCAACTGTTTAGTTTCTGTACACACACACACACACACACACACACACACACACACACACATTAAGAGGGTTACACAATACCCGACAGACAGACATAGAGGGAAACATTCAGGGAAATTTCTCCTAAATATCAGATAAAGGCAGCATGTCAATATAGCAATAAAACCATACATTTCTATTGTAACGGAACACAAATTAATAAAATGGGGAAGTAGAACTTACAAAATAGCTTTAAACTCAGTACCAGATTTCATTATAGGTCCTAGACTATAGTGGACACAAGCTAATTTTCATGGTTGTCCATAATAATAGTCATTGGGAAGTTAAATGACAGAAGAGAAGCAGCTTTAAATGGGAAATGGCACAATTATTCACAGCTGTCATGCTTATGCACTTGCTGACTATCAACCTTGAACAGAGCATTTAATTCAAACCCCATTTAAAAGTATACACTGTCAAGGGAGAGGCCAAGAACCATATTCTAGTTCAGGAAGCAACCCATAACCCATGTGCGAAAGATGACACTGAAGATCAAGTCTACTGGGACGCAGACAGATTGCTCACAACCCAATGTAGGAGCCGCTCCTGTAAAAAAGCAAGGAAATGCCAAGAACCTTGGCATCTGACTGTTCACAGATGATCCATTCCTGCTCTCATACTGCATAACATTTTGAGGGGAAATATTCTGCCCATTCAGAACAGCAATTGAATTTAAGTTCTCTCTCTGAAGATAGATTTCACCTTTTAATCAATCTTTTAAACTTCTGTAATGCTATATATGTGTGATATATTTGTTAATACTAAGATTCCATTGCTGTTTTTAAAGTATTGCATAAAAATAAGTGCTGCATGTATAATATATATGATATAATACATCATATTTCATATAACGTATTTGATAATATCTCAAAACCAACTGAAGAAAAATTGAATGTGTGTGTAAGACATAGAGATAATATGGATATAGATACGTAGGTGTAGATATGAAAAGAGAGTTCTAGCAAAGATCAAAGCAAAAGTCACAACTTAGGAGCAAAGTAAAAGAAATTACCTGAATCCTAATTAGTTTCATATATACTCAGTTGGACATCAAAAGGAAGTGAGGATTCCTTACTTAGGGGTATTAAACTGAAGGAATCACTCATCAGGTTAAAAGAAAATCTTCACATCAACCAGAGACTGCAAGTATTTGACTGACAGGGTCTGTGATATTATAACAAGGTAACACTGGATTATCTTATCTAAGTTGTCAAAATAAAGTAATATCTGACATCTACATATATTATCTCACTAGCCTTACAATTAGCACATGCAACCAGCTATCTGGTGATGGTAAATATTTTTCATACATTCAATGTATATTTACCAAACAATCCCTATGGGGGTGCCAAGCACTGTTCTAGATATTAGACATATAAGGATGAAAAAGACAAATGTGGTTTCTGCAAATTAATAGCATAATCAGGGTTACCTGATTATAGCATAATCAGGGTTACCCAGTTACCCAGAAGAACCCAGCTCTTCTGACACCTATATTGTGTTATGCAGATCAAGTTTTTTTGACCTTCAAAACATTTGGCCTGCCTTGCTTATTATTTTACTGTTAATTACAGAATTAAATGCATTTTAACTCTGAGTTTCAGATGTGCTTTTTTGCTTTGTAGATATTATTCAAGCGAATAAAGCTCTATGAATTATGGCATGATAAAATATTCACAGAAACTTACAACTCCACAGTTGAGTAACAATTACATTTGTTCCAAACAGGCAATTGGTTTCCAAACACATTAAACAAAGGCAATTTAGAAAGCTTCTTCTTCTTCTTGGCATCATTAACGTTGTTGAACGTCCTGGGATTCTGGAGTGTTTCACAAAGGTAAGTAAGTGTGTGGTAAGATGAACAATTTCTGAGTCCATGAAAGAGTGATCTGGGAGCCATCACTGAGCCAATGGGAATCCTGTATTCCATGACTGGACCAGTTAGCATATTAGAGAAATTTAACAGATATTCAGAGCAAGAAATTTCCATTTAGACTTCACTTTTTCTTTTCTCTCTCTTTTTTTTAACATCTTTATTGGAGTATAATTGCTTTACAATGTTTAGTTTCTGCTGTATAGCAAAGTGAATCAGCTATACGTATACATATATCCCCATATCTCCTCCTTCTTGCGTCTCCCTCCCACCTTCCCTATCCCACCCCTCTAGGTGGTCACAAAGCACTGAGCTGATCTCCCTGTGCTATGCAGCTGCTTCCCACTAGCTATTTTACATTCAGTGGTATATATATGTCCATGTCACTCTCTCACTTCGTCCCAGCTTACCCTTCCTCCTCCCCGTGTCCTCAAGTCCACTCTCTACATCTGCATCTTAATTCCTGTCCTGCCCCTAGGTTCTTCAGAACCTTTTTTTTTTTTTTTTAGATTCCATACATATGTGTTAGCATACGGTATTTGTTTTTCTCTTTCTGACTTACTTCACTCCGTATGACAGACTCTAGGTCCATCCACCTCACTACAAATAACTCAATTTCGTTTCTTTTTATGGCTGAGTAATATTCCATTGTATATATGTGCCGCATCTTCTTTATCTGTTCATCTGTCGATGGACACTTAGGTTGCTTCCATGACCTGGCTATGGTAAATAGAGCTGCAATGAACATTGTGGTACATGACTCTTTTTGAATTATGGTTTTCTCAGGGTATATGCCCAGTAGTGGGATTGCTGGGTTGTATGGTAGTTCTTTTTTAGTTTTTTAAGGAACCTCCATACTGTTCTCCATAGTGGCTGTATCAATTTACATCCCCACTAACAGTGCAAGAGGGTTCCCTTTTCTCCACACCCTCTCCAGCATTTATTGTTTGTAGATTTTTTGATGATGGACATTCTGACAGGTGTGAGGTGATAACTCATTGTGGTTTTGGTTTGCATTTCTCTAATGATTAGTGATGTTGAGCATTCTTTCACGTGTTTGTTGGCAATCTGTATGTCTTCTTCAGAGAAATGTCTGTTTAGGTCTTATGCCCATTTTTGGATTGGGTTGTTCCTTTTTTTGATATTGAGCTGCATGAGCTGCTTGTAAATTTTGGAGATTAATCCTTTGTCAGTTGCTTCATTTGCAAATATTTTCTCCCATTCTGAGGGTTGTCTTTTGGTCTTGTTTATGTTTTCCTTTGCTGTGCAAAAGCTTTGAAGTTTCATTAGGTCCCATTTGTTTATTTTTGTTTTATTTCCATTTCTCTAGGAGGTGGGTCAAAAAGGATCTTGCTGTGATTTATGTCATAGAGTGTTCTGCCTAGGTTTTCCTCTAAGAGCTTTATAGTGTCTGGCCTTACACTTAGGTCTCTAATCCATTTTGAGTTTATTTTTGTGTATGGTGTTAGGGAGTGTTCTAATTTCATTCTTTTCCATGTAGCTGTCCAGTTTTCCCAGCACCACTTATTGAAGAGGCTGTCTTTTCTCCACTGTATATTCTTGCCTCCTTTATCAAAAATAAGGTGACCATATGTTTGTGGGCTTATCTCTGGGCTTTCTATCCTGTTCCATTGATCTATATTTCTGTTTTGTGCCAGTATAGACTTCACTTTTTCCATTGGTCCTTATAATAAAATAGTTCTTTGCTCAATTCTAAAACAAGATTTTTTTCTCCACCATATAGTACCATTTTAGAGTTAGAAATAACCATATCAATAATAAGAATGAATGAGTCATTATCATTAAAAGCAAATATCATTAAACAAATAGCTAGAAATCTAATGATGCTTAAGATTTGGATTCCATTCAGGCCTTTAAATCAGCAGTGACCATTTCAAGGTCAATAACAAACTGTGCAAAATCATTTAGCCAGTCAGTCACCTGAGACCATTCAGTGGCTTAATATTTATTATCTACCATCCATCCACTGCCAGCCTGTCTCCCTCTCACTGACGGATTCTTGGATGGCTGTGTTCTTTTGAGCGAATTCTCTAACCTCTCTGAGTCTCTGTTGATAAAGGACCAAGTGCGATGTCTGCCACATAGCAGGAACTAAACAGATTTTTATTTTCCTCACTTCTTTTCATTCATTCATCTATTTAGTATCTCATCTATTGCCACTTATTCCCTGCCTGAATTATTCTTTTGTTCATCTAATAAATCTCTTTTGGAACATCAGTCATGTGATAGGCACTGTAAGAAATTAGAAGAACATAAAGTCAGTATCAGTATATGTTTAGTGTCACCTATGTCCCTGCTCTCATGGAGCTTACGGTCCAGTATAAGAGAGGCACTTAAACCTCATGCAAGACAGAATTAATGACAAAATCAAAAGTTTTAATGGCTCCCTGAATTTTAAAATTTCTTACCTTCCAAAGTGTATATTATCGAAGTGACCCTCCAGGATGCATAATTTCCCTAAAATGCCTGTCTCATTCTTAGATTGAAAACCAAATTAGAAAGTCAGATTCTTGCAGAAGGATTCAACAGAAATGTCCCCAGCTTTGCAGTAAAATGTGTTGGTATCAAAAACTGAAATTGAAGGCAAGACCTTTCTCCCCTCTGTCCATCACCTCCAAACACGAGTGGTGCCCATCCACTAATTCTCACAAACCTGCGTTGTTTCTCAATTTCAGTTACTCTCCCACTGTAAGAGTTGACCCTGTCTTTCATGAAGTAGTTTAAAAGGCAGTCTCTAGAGGCAGCCCAGTTGAATCCAGTCCCACAACTTAGCTGCACAAACTTTAAGCTGTTTAACCCTGCTAAGCCTCAATTTCTACTTTGTAAAAAGGAAATAATAAGAATGGTAACTGTGTCAGAAGGTTGCTGTGAGGATGAGTAAATTGCCGAAGTGTTAGCAGTAATAATAATGGCTTCATATGTTGCCTTATGCTCCCTTCTTTTTATTCTTTACCTAGACTCATGCTGAGATATGGTTAAGATGACCATGATTGTGGGCTGAATTCAGGTAGCACTAGTGCTGGAACCAAAAACCTACTAGCTCAGGGACTGATTCATTTATTCATTTATCCATTCATTTAACCAACATGTTAAGCATTGTTCCAAGCACTAGAAAAATAAAACCAAAGAAAACAAAGTACTGGCCTACAAGGAGCTGGCATCTAGTACTCAAAATATTTAAGTATGATTCTTCTGTGACTGTCGAGCAAGTGAGTTACTGTAAAGTGAGAGATGGTAGAGCTGGGGTTCAGAGAAGAAGGCGAGAATAAAAAATACAAAGAACCAGAGATTGGAGGAACCAAAGATGAAAGGAACTAAGGGATAATGTAGGGCTTATTCAGAAAGAAATTGGAGTCTTACCAAATCTTCTCCATCTCCTGTATACTTTCTTTTCTCCTGCATACTTTTTGAGGGAAGATAAAAAAGAGAGGGTGAAACAAAGCAGGAAGGAAAGAAATTAATTTTCCATGTGTTGAGCATTTCTGTCTTAAGCAGCAGGTTTGTCCCCCTCCCTGTTATGGAGATCATACCATTCCACTTAATAAGTAAGAAAACTAAAGTGAAAATTGAACCAAGTAAATTGACTAAGTTCACACAAGTAGGATGCAAACCCTACTTTGTCTCCAAAGCCCATACACTTTCTCCTAGACTCTGCTGCCTCTAAGTGCCATAGAGGAGCCCTTTTCCTGCTCCCTGACGGCCCCTTAACTCTCGTGCGGGAGGAAACCAGTCCCTTCAGTTCAACTAACTATACCCACCACCACCTGTTGATCAGCCGCCACAAGAAGAGAATGTGTGTCATGTTTCACAAGAAAGGAGAATCTGAAAAATTTGCCTGCAGAGATTAAGTAGCTAGAACCAACTACATTAGTTCAAAGGCACACATTGCCTTGGGTATCTATTTCCCACTGGGATCCAAGGGGCCAAATCAAAAGAGTTAACCAAAAAACTATCTGGAATCCAAGGCATCGGATCACTGTCTGCAGTGAGAAGTGCATGATTCCAGCTTATTTCTATACTGATTGTTTCTGTCAAACCCTAACGAACAATAAGGATGCAAAGAAACAGGGGAAAACACAGACGTCCCAGGGACAGCATTATTGAAACATATTATTTGTAAGTCAGATGGTGTTTGATCTTAATATACTTCCAATCACAATCCAATTTTTACCAAACCCAAAGGTGTATTTGCTCAGAGCCAGATACTGGTGGCAAATCTATCAAGAATAGGACAGTCCCAAGTTATTCTTGTCCCCAAGATCTTGAGACCAGTGGATTAATGATGAAACAGCAGCCTCGCTAATATACAGGTGGAGTTAGGTTTGTGTTAGCACCTGAGGGCACCCTACCATCAAGTTTATATTAGTGTGCAACAATCCTGGTGTAAGTCCTAGAACCAAACTAATCTTGTAGGGGTCAGTAGGAGATCACTTAACTGAGTATAATTAGGACTATTCCATGAATGTCAGTCCAGATGTACCTTCCATTACAAACAATCCCCTTCCTCTGCCTCTGTCTGTATTAGAGTCCCCCTCAATCAAATCTGAAATAGGGCAGTGGTGACATGACACACCTGAGGCTCTCCAGGTTGGGGGTGGAGGAAGTAGGTGGATGAAATGTCTTTCCTTGCTGAAAAGTATCATACAAACACCTCTACAGTCCTTACTATAACTATGTATCCTACATCAAATGCTAAAATAAAGGGTATTTACAGATGTTTATGGGGGGAGAGAGCAGAAGCGTATTTGTTATTACAACTTGACACCACCGTCCCTCCAATGTTGTAAAACACATCTTACGAAGTTGATATCATTGTGCTTATTTTGTTAATGACCAGTAATCTTTTGTGCATAACCTGCAATGATTATTGAAAGAGACGTAAATCAGAGAAAAATGACCAGTCATTCAAGCATATCCTTTTCTTACAGTTATCGCTAGCAATATATTAAGACAGAAAAGAAGGTAAAACTCTCTAGCATTGGAAACTTTCACAGATCAAAAAAAGAAGAAATGTCTGACCTCAAAGACTTAGGTGCATTTGATAAAATTGAACTTATGGCCCTTGACCATTTGTTCATTCAACCAATATTTATTGTACATCTGCTATGTACCAGGCACTGATCAAGGTACTAGGAATACAGCAGTGACTAAAGCAGTCTGAAATTCCTCTCCTCCTGGAACTTCTTCAAAAATGTTTAAGAAGTAAGTTGCCTTTAGAGGCAGCGTGCCATAGAGGGAAAAGGCCAGGACTCTGAATAAGAGACTTCTGGTTTCAAACCCAGGCTCTGCCAACTATTACTCATACAAACCCTAAGCAACTTATTTAACCTCCTAGAAGTTCAGTATTTCTGTCTGTGAAATGGGGATGGTTCCACCCCTCCAGGGTTAGAGTGAGAATTCGGTACGTTAGGGTGAGCACTGGACCCTAGCATGCTGCCTGGCACTTAACCAGATTTTTCTTGAGTCAAGGATGGAGGGCACACATTTTAGAAATATGTTCATGGATTTTTTTCTTTGACAGTGGTGTTTTCCACACAGTCTCAGCACCGAATTTACAAACCCTCAGTGCATCTGATAAATCTTTCGACTCCTGCCGCCATGAAATCTACAAGGTTGATAATTCCAGACTTTCCGGTTCTCTCATTGTCAGACTCACTGCAGGTTGTAAAAGAGCGCCATCTAAAGGTCCTCGTGAGGCACCTTAATATGTCCTAAAACTCCTTTTGTCGTTTTATAAAGACCGTTCTGGTGAGCGGTGCTCTTAAATAATCATCACTGTTGTGCCAGTATCTATGGGCCTATAATAAAAGTAAGACAGGCACAGGAGGAAGGTAAATGATTTATCAGGTCCTCTACATCTGGTCCTAAAAAAAGCTTTCTTTCTTTCTTTTTTAGATATTGTAATCTAAATCATTTTAATGCCCAGAACATCAGCGGAAGTAATCTTGAAGAAACACTTCCCCTCCATGAAAAGTCTCTGAAATTTTATGGCAGTATACAGGAATTTTCTTCGAGTATTGATCTTTGGGAAACAGCCCTGTGAAACTCTGTTTGACTCAACCTGTCTTATGAGCAGAGTATTCACTGTTTTCTTTGACTAGACACTATGCGTTTTCGTTTTAGGGCTAATATGTGTGAGGGTGGCCTTATGAATATTATCTGTGTACTTTACAAAGACTATTATGACTCCTCTAGTCATAATTATGACTATTACGCTTTTGCATTAACATGTTATGCCTTTGAATTAATGAAGTAATTTCAAAGTCTAAGTAATTACTCTATGACAACAAAAAGTTAATATTTCCTATGCATCACAATATTTTAAAACTTATTACAATGGTTTGGCCATTATAAGCAACCTATATGACATTTTTTAGTTTTCATGTGTCCTTAGAATCAAAATAACAGTATGTTAACATTCTTTCTTTCAATGCATTTATTGAGTACTTACTGCATGTCAGGCATAGTGATCATATACTGTCTATGTCAGAGTAAATAATAAACCTACATACAATTTCACTATACTTCATCTTGCTATTACACTATCAAGTTATGAATTAAGGAAATATTCTCTGAATCAAAGAGCAACACTACTAAAATAGAGGTCCTTAACAAAAAGAGAATATTCACATACTGAAGAAACTGTAAAATAAATGGAAATGATGGAATTATTGCGATTAAAGGAAAGAAGAAAATTAAGGAAGGTTAAATGAGTGTTGGGGGAAGGGCAAGTGATCAAATCAATCAGGGATGCTTAAAGAGATTCCCTAGTCCAAAGGATGTCTTTTAGTCTCCACTGCTACCAGTTCAGACTCACTCAGAAAATTATCTTCTAAAAGAGATTTTTCCCGTATAAGCAAAGAAATGTGAAAAAACTCATTTAAACCAAAAAAAAAAAAAAAAGGCAAATACAACTAGTGTCCCAAATCTTTGTAGCAGTGCTTGTCAAAGTTTTGTGAAGGACCCCCTGCTTCAGGCACCTCTTTCTGGCCCCTACCATAGACTGCTTTAACCCAAACCTTTTTCCAGGAATCGGCAGTTCTAACAAACCTTCCCAAGTCTTCTTACGCTCCCTGAAATCTGAGCACCACTGCCTTAAGGGACAGTTCAAGCTGGATAGGAGGGGGGTGTTTATCAGTTGATTGCAAATGATTCTGCAGTTAAGCACCTCCCTTGTGACCTAAAATATTTTAGATCTGTAGAATAAAAGATTTACACATCTTGATTAGGTGTGATATGCATTTTTAATTGCAAAAGAACAGCTGTAAAGCTCCAGGTGTTTCTCTTACTCAAACTATTTTTTGTTTGTTCTGAGGACAAATGAAAAGACAAACTCTTACAGACAAAAATTCTCGCCCTGTAACTTTTTCAAATCCTTCTTTTTTCAGCATTTGTTCTCTGACGAAACACTGAGGCCGGTCCTTGATCTTCCTTAGAATCTTTCTTTGCTGCAAAACGTTAAATGCCAAGTGTGCAATTTGGGTTTAATGAACACCCCAAAGATCAAGAAACCTTTAAACATCTCGTCTCAGTACAAGTCAGAAGCTCTAACGGTCCCTCTCACCATTAGAAAAAGGGTTTGCCTTATTTTGTTGTTCCCCTTACCCACCGCCCCAAATTTGCCTTCCTCTCCTTAATTTCTACATCATAATAGAAAAAGGTGCTCATTATGCTTTCACTCATCCTTAGAGATGAAAAGAGAGCTACAGAATTATAAAGATGACCCTAAGCGAACACCAAAAGAGCTTAGAATTCTCACATCGGGGCTGACACTCATGATTAGCTAAATTGCGGGAACTACACACGCTTCCATTGGAAACAGGATGCATTCATGCACTAGTTTCTTGTCTAGTGCTTAGCAACATTATCGCTGAGCACCTGGAATAGTTTAGGCATTAAGTGTAATTGGTTTTGCTTTACATAAATCTGTAGCTTTGTAAATAAGCGGAGCATTTACAGAGAAGCGTTGCTTCTCTGTAACACCAATTAACTTAAAGGGATGCGTTGTCTGTAGGAGACTGCTGGGTTCTGTACTGTATTTCTCCCGTAATGTGCTCATTGGCTGGCAAAGTTCTGTGTCCCTGCAGTGTTGCATTGACTCCCAGTCACTTGGTGTCAAGGGTCTGTACCCAGCTACTCATTTGCTCCATGTTTCAGTTGTAAAAGATTGGGAAAATGGAGTCTTCCCTAAGAAGCATCTTCGGTGCTCTATTTCTGTCCACGAGGGAGACCTGAAAGGCAAGGTACTTGAAAATGTTTTCTGTGACCTGCAGAGCACAGATCTGACCCCAGCTGAGTCTATCCATAACTGACGTCCACATCTCTTTCCTCTTTCTTTTTTTCTTGTAACGCTTCAATCCAATGCAGCCAAAAGTCACTGCATTGAGCCTGTATACAAAATTAAGAAAACCATATTCTTATTATGTAAATTTGCTAGTGAAAATGTTTCCATCAGTGGGACTTTTTTTAATAACACTCAGAAATCTGCTCCTGGGAGTTGGTAAATTTTTTCAAGCTTCTGGGATATTTCCCCTCATCTCTTTACTCGGTTTAATCCCTTCTCTCTCATATCCCCTTCAGGTAATCTTGATATATAGCATTCATTCCATAGCATTCATTCCACTCTGGCCAACCTCTAATTCTCTTGGTTTCTGAAAGTGTTTCGTCGACTATCAGAGTAACAGTATCACCAAAATACAGCTCATGATTCCAAAAAGTTTCCTACTAATATTATGTGATTTACAAATTGAAGGAGGGAGAATCACCCCTTCTGAAAACTGTCAGGATCCCTTGTTGGATGAGAAAAGAGCTTCAGCATTAGGACCGTGAACCAGTCCGGCGGTGGGCATAGCCCATCGCCACTGCTAGAGAAGCTGACATACAATTACCGGTCACAGGCTTATGGGTAAGGTTCTTAAATGAATTCAACAGCCAAGTGATGACAGCACACAGGTGCTGCTAACATTCAGGTCTGCTTGTAGAGAACAGGGAAGTGAAAGGACCCACTCATAATAACAACCCTATACAGTTCACAAGTTGCTGTCACATGTATCGTCACATTTGGTTGGCACCAGTCCTGGGAAGTAGGCACATTTTGGCACGCCCATTTTGTACATGAGACATTGCAGCTCTGAGACATTATCAAGAGTCACAGAGATACGGGATGTCACAGACTAGAACCTCGGTCCCTCTGTCTCTGAAGAGCCAGCCCCTTCTACAAATGACACTCATAATGGCACCAACACTGGATCATCCCCAGCCACTCAGGTGAAACACTCTCTAAATAATCCAAAAGGGAACAAGAATGAAAAGAAAGACCACATTGGGGTCAGAGACTCTGACAAAATGGTTACCCAAAACAGCATGTTTCTAATGGTTACCCAAAACAGCATGTTTCTAATGGTTACCCAAAACAGCATGTTTCTAACATCTCTTTCCCTGCCCTCAGCTTCCTCTGTGGAGCCAGGCACTACCCTCATGTGGACTTCAGGCTGCCAGAAGCACCGCACTGAAAAGACCTGCCCAGACTGACCACACTGGGGTCGGGAAAGAGGGTCTTGGGCTCAAAAGCATCCTTTCCTTCCCCTTTCAACAAAATGCCCTCAGATGTGCTATAGTCAATTCCAAACTGCTTAGGAAAGAACGGGTTAAGAAAAACAAATTCACCCCCCAAAATGTGATTAAGATTTGTGAAGACTCCTGTAGTACTTGCTGAGTACAAGACACTGTTCTAAGTGTTTTTATTTAATATTAACTCATTAATCATCACAGTAACTCTATAAGTACAATTGTAGACCCCATTTTACTGATACGAAACATGAAGCACAAAGGAGTTAATAACTTTCCAGGGACTTCCCTGGTGGTCCAGTGGTTGAGACTCTGTGCTTCCAGTGCCGGGGGGCACGGGTTCGATCCCTGGTCGGGGAACTAAGATCCCACATGCCATGCGGTGTGGCCAAAAAATAAAAATAAATAATTTTCCAAAGGTTATACATGCAGCATGGACAGAGTAAAAATTTGGACCTAGGGATCCTGACTACAGATCCCAGGGGCTAGCCCTCTCTATATCGCTGCCTCTCAGTAAAGCTGTTGTCTACAATAGATCTTTATGTATTCTCAGGGCAATTCCATGGAAGACAATGCCTTAGCCCAAGGGATTTCAGTCTCAAAAGAACGTGACTTCTTCCATCAGTCGTTGCTGGATGGAAACAACAGGTACTTTAACACCCCTAGGTAGTGCCCCCTCCCTCCCGTTTTGTGAATAATTACTGTTCTCCTGCTTACACCCAAAGGCATGACTCTAAGGGCAGAGAAGTTCAGACTCTATGGTAGTGAGTGGGTACTTCTATCTCAAAACTGTTGTAGGAGGGCTTCCCTGGTGGCGCGGTTGTTGAGAGTCCGCCTGCCGATGCAGGGGACGCGGGTTTGTGCCCCGGTCCGGGAAGATCCCACATGCCGCGGAGCGGCTGGGCCCGTGAGCCATGGCCGCTGAGCCTGCGCGTCCGGAGCCTGTGCTCCGCAATGGGAGAGGCCACAACAATGAAAGGCCCGCGTACCGCAAAAAAAAAAAAAAACAACAAGAAAAACTGTTGTAGGGATCCTTGTAGGGTGTTCCTTAAATCACAAGGTAAGCTGTCTGTTCCTCAAATGACAGTCATCATTAGATCAAGATGGAGCCTTAGGTCAACTAGTCTCTCCACTTCCTTAGCCTCTCCACAGACATTCCTGGGATGCCTCCAGCCCTGCTCTCCAGTGAGCTTAGTGGAGGTGTCAAAGATAATCAGGGATCGTGATGTCAAGACCCAGCCTCTCCGTCTCTCTCTGCCTATCTCCGTCTCTCTGTCTCATTCTCTCTGTCTCTCAGCGCTCTCTCTCTCTCTCTGGCTCTGTGTCCCACTGAGGTTGTCTACAGTAGAATGGATGCTATTTGACAGCCAAGATCTTTTCCCCAAGTGATACATTGTCACTAGTCTACTCAGAGACTTTCCTAATTACTAAATAATAATAGCACCCAAACCTTAATCTATCACCCATCTTAGACAGGTTTGAATCCATTTACTGGCTGGGAATCAGGTTGTTGCTTCAGTTTGCTAAACCACAAGTGACCAAGTCTCATATAAATACAGTAATGAGTCAAGAGCCTATGACAAGTGTCTATTACCATGGTAGCAGCAAGTCAGGAGCACATTTAATGACATTTACGCAAAGAGCAAGGTAACACTGGTACCAGGGATATAAGAAGGAGAAAAATGGAATCAACGGTCGGCGGAAATTTGGCAAAAATCAGGGGGAAGTCACCATAACATTGAAGAAACTACCAAGAAAGCACACATGTCGTCATCATGTCAGTTTTCATTTTCCCAAAGCAATCTCTGGAAGCAAAACGAGAAGGCAAGTCGAGAGAATATGCTAAATTTTAAAATAAGAGAAAGAGCTCTCTGTCAGAAATGCCAGAGAGGAAGTGCGAGCTTCAGAAGCCAGAGCAGTGAGAGGCCATCTGGAGACACTGATTTCCCATTTTCGTGTGATACACTGCACAGCATAGGTGCCTGGATTCCCATGAATTCATTAGGACCCCCTAGAGCAGACCCCATGCTTCTTACCACATTC